GAAAACCCAATCCCGATGGCAAACACCGGGGGGGGCGGCTTGTTTTACAACGTCGTTGCCAAGCGACGAAAACCCAACCCCGACGGCAAACACCGGGGGGGGAGGGAGGGAAGGGGGGTACATTTGATCCTTCCCGAAGCCTCATGACACGAGGCACCACTACAGGTGTCCCGATCTAGTGCCGGTGCACATCTCTGCACGGGTGTGTTTAGTATAGTATAGTACTGGCGGTACTGCACAGTATTCAGTACCTGCGAGGCGTACTGGAATTACTGGCTGTTTAAGTACAGCTCTCGATACTGGAATTAAAGCTTCAGTACTTTTAGTACAGCTTTCGATACTGTACTGTACTGACTGCTTTAGTACGGACTTCAATACTGGCATAAACGAACTGCACGCTTTAGTACGGGTGTCGATACTGGACGGTTGGGGTCGTACGACTGCCTGTATCTACTCGCTATCTACCCGAAATCCACCGAAGGGCGTGTTGGTGGCGTCATCTTCTGGCACAAATGCGGCACAGTCTCGTCCAATTGGTCGAGTCCTACAGTCCCACTCCTGCAAGTACACGACTACGTCGTACTGCCGTGTCCAGTGTACTGCACAGTATTCAGTACCTGCGAGGCATACTGGAATGTACTGGCTGTTTTAGTTCAGCTCCCGATACTGGAATAAAAGTTTCAGTACTCTTAGTACAGCTCCCGATACTGGAATGTACTGTACTGACAACACGGCCCTCAGTACTCTGTACTGTACTGGCTGCTTTAGTACGGACTTCAATACTGGAATAAAAGTACTGTACTGTACTAAACACACCCTTGCATCTCTGTGCACGAGTGTCCGCTCCTATACTAAAACCTATATATCTCTGCCTTGAACAGTGCCGGTGTCCGGTACGGTGCCGATCAAACCTCTCGGCACATACCGGCACCATCAACACTCGCGTTCGATAAAGGTCGACATCACTTGGTATTCCCGAATATTATCGAATATTTCACGGTTACCTGGGTTTCACTTCACCTAATACTGCGGAAAAACTATCCAGGAAATCACCATGGAAAATTTAACAAGAGGGACCCTGACATTTTCACACAAAAAGAGATCTTGGGCACCGTCTACGGCCACGCCTAGGATATATAGATGCTGCATTCTCACTTGCATCCAACACCAACAACAATCTTGACCGGGTCACTCTTAGCTGTATCCTGCCTCCGCGTCTTCGTGAGGTTGTTGTCGCTTATTTCTTCCTGTCCTGCCAGATGGGCATGCACCCCTCGTCCGCTTCTGCCCTAGATTCATACAACCTCTGATACAACCCCTTGCTTCTTCACGAAGCGGTTCGGGGAATCAGGGGGATTGGGGTGATCACTGACCAGGGGGGCATGAAAGGAGGGGTTCTCAAACTCGAATCATCTGTCTCAAGTAGCCTGTGGGGGATCCACTGAATCTTGAATCATACACGTCGCAGCCGGTGTTTTCGGACGCCGCCTACGACCCCGCCCACACCGCCACAAGCGCCATGTCAAATTCCCCCCCAAAAAATAATGATGAAAATGATGAAAATGTGCCCATTTTCACATACAGGGGTGCAATCTCCCCAACGTCTGTTTGTCGAGGACGGTTTCCTCATATCGTGACCATAAGAAATTGCATTTATTCATGTGTGATTGGTCGATTTGATCGACAAGCAACTGGTCAAACTTGATCGACAGGCAACCCCGCCAACCTTACCTGAGCCCACCTGTGTGTGATTTGGATTATATCTTGATGACAACAATCCCTCCGCAACTAGTAGGCTAAACCACTAGGCACCCAGTGTGTGCTCTCGTTGATTTTGATCGACGGGTTACCCCCCCATCCCCCCCGCACACGCGCTAACCTGTATCCGATGTTGATGGCCGTCTCCATCTTGTCCCCCGTCAGGACCCACATCTTCACGCCGGCCTTCCCGAGGTCCGCGATCGTCGACGGCACTTCGTCCTGCAGCTTGTCCTCGATGGCGGTGGCACCAACGACTTCTAGGTCCGTCTGGGAGCAAGTGATCACATCGTTGTGCAACAACGCGGCAGATGGGGCGGCGGGCTTAATTACCATACAGAAGAAAAATGAGCGTGGTATGGACGATTACTTCACGAACAGTAGCGTGGTGTAGTAGTGCCGATAGCAGCTGAAGTGGTCACCCTGCCGCTCCGTTGAACGAGTGAACGTCAAGAATTAGCGTTTCACATGCGTATCCACGTGTTAGACTTGGATCGAGAGTAATCGCGCAAGCTTTAATCAGACCGCAAACGCATGACCAAACTTGGTTCGAGCCTTCCCTCCCCCCCCTGACATCACAACCTCTATGGACGTTTCCGGACAGCTACTATAAACTAGAAACCCTTGGGAGACGGACGAAAACACAGCGCCTGCACCACAATCATCGCCAACACCACGACGATCACCATCACCAACACTACAACAAGCTACTCCAACACCAAACAAGACGAGATGGCAAACTGCTGCACGGTGTAAACAAAGCAAACCTCACCTCGACTTCCTTGGCCACCTCGGCGATCTGCTCCGCACGGTCGTCGGTGGCGACGGACGCCTTGCGGTACTTCTCGTACCACTCGTCGAAAAACTCCTGTGGCAGCAGAAAAACACACGCACAACCAATTGGGAGGACAGCAGTTTGTAAAAAGAAACGAGAGGGAAAACGATCAAATTGCGGAACGCGCTACATATTCGTCTTGGTCTGCTGGGTGGCCGATCTGTTGGTTCCACTCGGCTTCCCCCCAGCCCAACACACTCGTCAGAAGTGCCCCAACCTGCTCTTCCTTCTCCAACTCCTCCCAACACTCGATAACTTAACAACAGAGTCAGAACAGCATGGTTTACGTTTCGTTCGCATTTTTGTTTCGAGAGGGTTTGTCCGCCCTTTCCACGTATACTTTTCCTTCTCTTCTCTTTTGTGCGATTTTTTACATACTTCAGAGGCGTTTCTTTTTCCTTGCTTCCTCCTTCTCTCTAGGGCATTTTCTCCTTACATCCGAGGTATTTATTCTCTTTGGTTCGTTCTTTACGCATTTCTCCTAATATCTGGGGGGGTTATATTCCCTGCTTGCCTGAGACATCTCCTTCTTGGCGAGCAGCAGGGTGCGAAGACCGTCGTTGGAAAATACGCCGAGATGCGAAGCCACGGTTTCCTTGTCACACCCCATGTACTCCCTGGAACGGTCCATGATGATGTTGTCCGCTCCCTTCACCATCCATAACAAGGAATTACGACAGGGGGGGGGGGGGTA